TTAATCTACACAGTGATTTAGGAGATAGATTGCAATCACTCATACACACAACTTACTCACACACCACTCTTACACACGCGCTAACCAATGGACTCCAGCCCCCCGTAAGCAAGAAACCATCGCCCCAGCAGCAAACAGATGAAAAGAAACCACCTGCCCCCCCTTTCCAACCAATCTCGACGTTCCTGTCAATCAGATCCATAACTTGCCCTAAGAGCAGCTCTGCACCATTCCCCCTCCCTTTCCGCTACCTACCGCCCTTCCACTCCCTCCCCTCCCTTCCCACCCCTTCCCCAAAAAGCACCAAGCACACTCTCACACCCACCCCTACCCTCCAAATACCACACACACCACCCTTCTAACACCCACCTACCTCCCCTCCATCCACAACCACAGACACACAGACACACACCTCACCACCATCTCCCTTCCACCACCACCCTCCCCTCCGCATCAGCACGCATCATAACCCCAGTAGCCCACTTCGCGTCAACACCCACATACAATCTCTCCAGCGAACCAGTCAGTGCACTGCTTCCGCACCACCACAACCTTTCACCCCTCCCCACCCACCCTCCATACCCCGAACTGACAGCGGCCGTTGAGTTGCTTGCCTGCTCCTGCTTGCTTCTGCCGCTCCTCGCCGCCAAACCCAACCCACCACCCCCTCTAATACCCCCGACGCCGCCTATCGTTGGTGTGCCGTTGCCGCCATCAGTTGTGGTTGCTTTGTTTGTCTAAAATCGTCGTCGGTCGGCTGGTGTTAGATCGGTTGCTCGCCCATTTTTCGCGTCAAACTTTTCTCCAATCCGAGCTCAACACTCGTGCACCAGAGTTCGCCCCTCCCACTCGCCCCCCTCCCCCCCCCTACCCCTCTCTGCATGCCATCCGCGGCCTACCCAAGTATGTTTTCCCCGGCGGGTCAGTCGCCCATGCTGAATAACGGCGGGGTGCTCGATGGCTCTGGGACTATTGATCCAGCCACTTTAAACCCTACTACTGCATTCTCATCGCACCTCTCGTCGGCATCCCACATTCCTCCTTACTCGCCTCCGACGTCTAATGCGACCGAGTTTGATGATTCGAAACCTGGCGTTAGCGCACTGGCTAATAGTAGCCCTCGGGGTGTAAAACGGAGTCGATCACCTGCTGAGCCCTATCGGGATGGTGCTATTGCTGGAGATGATCTAGGTACAGGTACGCGAATAGCGTTTTTTTTTTTTTTTTTTTTTTACTTCATTATTCATCTGAGCGACACGAAAGAATAAAAAAGAATAATAAAAATGCGGTAATCCATGGATTACGCGACATGTTGTGCGCGGTCGCGACAGTGGCTCATCAAAATACGCATGAAAATATAAAGGGGGAAAAGCAAAAACTGACTTTTATTTGCCGCAACAGGAGCAGCGGGTGAACCGCCTCAACGAAGAAAGAGAGGAAGGCCACCAAAGAACAAGGGTCCTGGTGTCCCTCAGAGTCCAAATCTTGCGACCACCCCTCAACAGCAACACCAACAGCTTCCGCCACAGGCTGTCAGTACCCCTCAGTTACAGCAGATTCAACCTCCCGCTCAACAGCCAGGATCGCTACCTACTCCCCCTAAACCACCCCCCGCTAAACCAGTGGTAAAGGCGTTGCCGACCGTGCGTGACCACACCACTGACCAACTCACGCCAGAGGGCGATGAGTATGTGCCACGCGAGACTGATGATGAGGGCGACAAGAAAGTGCTCCCGACCGGGCACTTGTGCAATGGTAGGGAATACAAGTGCCGAACCTTCAATGTTCCAAACCGCGGAGACAAGCTCTTCATGTTGGCCACTGAATGTGCAAGGGTGCTTGGATACAGAGATTCGTACCTTCTTTTCAATAAGAATAGGTCACTTTATAAAATTATTGCTACGCAAGCCGAGAAGGATGATCTCATCCAGCAAGAACTCCTTCCGTATTCTTACCGCTCGCGACAGATTGCTATTGTTACTGCGAAGAGTATGTTCCGACAATTTGGTAGTAGGGTGATCGTGAATGGCCGGCGGGTGCGAGACGATTATTGGGAAACCAAAGCCAGAAAACAAGGTTTTACAGAGGAAGATCCGGCTGGTGAGAAGAGGCCTGGTGCGGCAAAGCAAAGAGCCGCACAAGCCAGTGAGCAAGCTGCCCAACAACAACAGCAGCAGCAGCAGCAACAGGCGGCCGCAGCTCAACAGCAGCAGCACCATGAACCAATCTACCCTCATGATGCTGTGCAACTTGACCAACAGCCACAACCTCAAATGGTCCAGCCGGGTCTTGGCGGGCCAGCCCCGGTTCCCCTCGCACCTTTGCCAATGATCCATCTTGCACCGGAAAGTCAGGATAGATTAAAAGAAATCTATTCGGTGCCTCGTCCCAAGCAAGAGATTACTGGACCCCCATACCAAGACCGTGCTGTCAGTGCCGCTCCCGCACAACTCATGGAGCAGGTGCATAGCACTGCAGATTTCAATAAAGTTCTTCGAAATAGTAGTGGTGTGAGGAAGGAGATGTACACCAATTACTTTAAGCCTAGATCTCCTCCAGTTAACAATCAGCCCGGCCAGCAGCAGCAGCCGATGCCAAGTCCCCAGCAGCAGCAGCAGCAGCAGCAGCAACAACAACAGCCCACGAACCCTCCGCTACCACATCCCTCTCAACATAATCCAATCCCACAGCACCCTCAACTCCATACGCCACACATGATGAACCCGCAGCAACTGTCAACCCTACACCACCAGCAACAGCAGCAGCAGGCCCAAGCTCAGGCCCAGCAGCAACAGGCTCAACAGCAGCAGCAGCAGGCCCAGCAGCACCAAATCATGCCCCAACAGTCTCCACGAACCACTCAGAGCATCAAACCGGAGCAGCTCCACAACCACCCAAGTGCTGCCTACATCACCCCCCAGTACTTCCAATCTCCCGGCCCGCAGCAGCAACCGGGGCACCCGCAGCATCACTCACAGCAGCACCACCCCCAGCCGCATCCTCAGTCGATCCCGGCAATGCATGTGCAGCACGGCGGACAGCCGCAGCCCCCGCTGTACTCCAACCCTACCCCCCAGCACTACTTGGGAAACCCGCCGCCACCGCAGAATTACCGTCCGCAGCCACCACAGCAACAGCAGGGTGGGCAGTGGTGGAATGCTACGGGTTAGATAAATGGCGTTTGCGCGATGAGTGCGTTTGCATGATTAGTATGGCCGTCATGGTGGTTCTCGTCGGCGGTGCTGTCATCGTTGTATTGACGGGACGAAATTGGGGTGATTGTGCGATTGGCACGAGGCTTCTTTCTCTTTCTTCTTGCTCTGGAACTTTTTTCTGCTTTTATTTGCTTCGGTTTGATTTGATTTGTGCTTTATGTTTTGTGTTTTGGTCGTATCTTGTTTTTTTTTGTAGGCCGCAAGATTGGGGAATACTGGAATCTGCTCTACTCCGCGTCATTCTTGTTCTAACTCTTTCTCCTTTTCTCCCTTTTGTTCCTTTACCCTGTTATCTTGAATAGCTCTTTTTTACTCTTTTTCCTTCTCGTTTTTACTTTTTCACTTTTACCTTAACCTTCTCTTCCCCCGCCCGGGTCTTCGCACAATCAACCAATTGGAGTCCCGTTTATTTCTTCCCCTTTTACTTCTACGTGAAGTTTGGCTACGCGCATTCCATTCCGTTCAATTCCTTTGATATATATCTTTCTTTCTTTTCCTCATTCGCTCATTCTATACGCTCCTTATACCAATTGCCTTCTTTTCTCCTGTTATCTCTGCGATTGGGATTTGTCACTTTACCTCTCTTCATTCGGTTCGTTAGGTCTCCATCTCCGTCTCCATCTAGTTGTAATCTGAGGATAATTGGCCCATCTCTTTTTTCCACTTTTACCTATTTATCTATCTATCCACTTGGCTATTATTTAGTTATGTCCCGTGCGTGCTCGATTGTGACTTGAACTACCGGTATGATACTTGAATTGCTTGGCTTGGCTTGGCCGGCTGGGTAGGGGAGGAATGGAAATCGGGTTTTCGTTCTGTTTTTTTTTCCAGGAGGGTTATTCTTTTTGTACCTTTTTTTTATTTATTCACCTACCCCTGTACTCCCGGTTTGGTGGGTTGGGCTCGGCTAGTTGTGATATCGTGAATTTCAAGAGCATAAAATCTTAGTTTTCCCGGACAAGTGGAGGCAGTGGAGTAGGAGTATCATAATTGTCAAGTAGGTATGATGTGATTATTGGGGGGGGGGGCATCATGTGATGTCACTCGAGTAGGTCATTTGTTCAGGGCTCCTTTTTTTTTTTGATACCGTAATATCTCGGTTGTTTTATATATATATATATATAATATTATGTAGGCCCTTTTTGTGTTTGTATTGATATCCTGTTTTTTTTTTTTTTTTTGCGTTTGATGGGGGAAAGGTCTATCATTTATCGTTTTAAAGTAGGTACTGTAGGTTGGTAGGTAGGTAGGTAGGTATTGGGTAGCAAGCAGTAAAGTCGTTTATTTGATAGGTAGAAGCTTGAATAAGACCGGAGGAAATGGGTTGTAGCATATGTCCAAAAGAAATATTATCATACGCGCCCGAGTGCCGGTCGGGGCACTTCTTCGTATCATACTCGAGTACCTCAGCCATCTTTATCCCAAGCGGTAGTTACTACAGTACAGTAAGTAACCCTACCCTACAGCCGTTCCAAGCACGCGCTCTCAACGCGCTGATACTACTTCCATCAGTGCCGGTGGTGACGAAATTGCAACATCGCCGACAGTTTTCTTCGGCGTGTGATTCCCGCCAATACCTAACCAATCTTCTAAGGACCCGATACGAGTAGACTTTTTAGGCCTCAGCAAGGCTAACATTTGCCTTTTCTCTTCCGTTCGCATTTCCTCGTCCCTAGGTTTCGGCGCGTGTCGGAATTCCGCCCTTCGGAACTGCATAACTACCCCTTCAGGATAAACTTGACCGTAAAACCACTCCCCATTGGAGTAGCTAATTAATCGGACGCGTTTATCGGCTTGTAGCTGAAAGGAATCATCTCTTGATAGCGCCGGCGGGTCGATTACTTCCAGAAAGATCGGGGCATCTGAGACCACCTTTCCAGCAAGAGAGACATGGGGACGATAAGGTGGCCAAATAGCATATGTCCCTCCCTAAACCTCTTAGTTAGAAAGGGCTAAAAGTGACGGACCATAAGACCCCTACCGATGGCTTCCGAATATTTCCTGGGCCTCCAGGTGGATCCCCGGATGTCAAGTTCGGGGAGGTGTTTAACACTTGTAAAAACCTCTCCATCGCCAGCGTAGGAGATCCAGGGGCAGTCGGTGGTGCCCGGGCCGGCGCCCGCAATGGCAGTGCTTTCGTAATCACACCTGCAGAGGCATCTCGTGGTTTGTCCACTGTCCCAGGAGCCACGAACGTACATGCACCATCTCCTGATCCCCCTCGGGCGGGTCCCGGGTCAACCCCAGATCTGAGCTTAGGGAAGTTCCTAAGACGATATCGTGCCCTGCCGAGTGCTCCGCGTGGCTTTAGATGTCTTTTTTTGCCTGGGGTTTTGATAAACGTTTGAGCGGCTGTAGCCGCCCTCGGGTTGCTGTCGTTTTTGGCCTCATCCTCATCCTCCGGCTCTGGTATAATATCAAGAGGTGTGGGTTTCGTGGATTTGATTTGTAGTTTGGGGGGGCTTGCAGGAGGCCCTGCCCTAGTAACTCTCTCAACTGAAGGCTTCGAATTGGATGCTTTCTTTAGCATACCGGTCTTCACGGTATGTGCCTTCGTCCCTGTTCCGTTCGAGATCAGAACCCCCTTCCCTCTGTTCCCCATATCGTTGAATTGATATGCACTCATCGGGATACTCCGCTCTGAGAATGCTGCTTCTGAGAGTATTCCAGACTCGGAACGGGCGACAGAAATCTGACCATTCGGGGTCGTCGGACGTGACGAAGGCCCAATCGTGGAGGGGACTTCCTGCCATCTTTGCAACGTGAAACTCTCGCAGGTAGCTACGGTTTGCATGTCGTGATCTTGGAGTCTCTCAATGACTTCCTCAAGTGCCCCTTGAACCCTTTCTAACTTCATATTTGAATGGCCGTTCTGAAGTCTAACCCATTCCGCCCCCATCAGTACATATTTGGGGTATAAAAACCTCTGTCGCGAGGGGAGCGAACTCACTCATTTCCAAGAGTTAATGCAACAAGCAAATTCCCCTTGTTCGAGTTCAAGTGTACCCGCAAATCAGCGATGTCCTTCTCGATGTAATGCCATTTAACTCGCTTCCAACCCTTCTTTAGTAACCCATCCCTCTCAGAAACGGTATGTTCGGTTATCAATTGGTTGAGCTGTATGAATATATCCAGGATAGCTCCCGAACTATCTTCAATATCCTGGTTCACTATTAACCCCTTTGTCTCCTTCCGGAAATTATCCATAATTTTGCAGAGGTTCTCGAGCTCCCGGGTAAGAAGCTTCACCTCCTCCGGTGCCGACTTGACTCCTTTCGCAAATCCGTGCAGGGCTACGAGAACTTTGGTCCCAACCGCCACAGTCCCGGCAATGCCTGAGACCACAGATAGAGGGTCCATGACTTTCCGCAGAGTATTGAAGAGCTTGGGGGAAGGGAGTGGGAGCCAACGGGTTTTAACAAAGGTCGCGGTTCGGACCGTCGTTATCCATCTTCTGCCACTTGTCAACGCCAGGAGTAATAAGCGGGGCTGATGCTATTACTGTAGCACATAGGCGGCAAGATGGCTGCTCTCGATGTGCGATTGGTGGTTGCCTGAAGCCAAAAGAATCATCTGGAAGTGCATGGGTTTCTGGCGAGTTACGCTAAGCGCGCTCCCCTGCTACTCCCCACATTCCTGCCCGGAGATCCAAATGTACTAGTACGAAAGGAGACTGTGAACAATTCTACTTGTAACGCGCGCTCACACGTCGGCTGGATTGTTTACGGGAGCTTATTTCGCGACCGGCGAGTGACTATCTGTGCGGAACTCGCCTCCGAGGAAGCCTTAACATAACTGGGGGTGTGCGGAGGAGGGTAGGTAGGATGAGACAGCCGTACTTGTATATACTCATGCAAACTAAACTCCAGACCTGCCAGCGCATCTTGCGCTTCTAAGGGCCAGCAGCACCTATCTAGCCTTTCAATACCCGAACACTTTCGCCCTAAAGTTACGTAGCTTAAATTCTGACAGATTATCTTCGTTGAAGCTCCAGTACCCGTACCCTCATGGCCAAAGCCGAATCGAAGGTAACGGTACCAAGGACAACTTGTAATTTGCCACTGCCCAAAGCTATCAGTATGGAAGATAAACGCTATCCTCCTCGCAAAGTGGGAAAGGCCAAGGAGACTACAGCCAATAAACAGGGAATAAGCGTTAGGGATTTGAGCTTGTCCCTCACAGCCTAGTTGAAGATGCTTATACCATGCAGGATCTCCTGCGGCCACCCTTACTTATTAGGAGCGTACGCACCCGCATTACTCAAGGAGGTGACGTGTAGAGGACCAGGAGAGGTGTGACCTCTCCCCACAGATAGTCCCCCGAGGACCGTATATATTAAGCACTGGTATCGCCAACTCTCCGCCAACCTCACTCACGGTTTGGCGGTTTTTTTAAGAAGACACTCCATCACCGTCTCCGCAATCCTGTCGGCCCTTTGCCCATGGATCAATTCCGCCCGGTTTGGATGGTTGGAAAGGAGGTGAGAAATAAAAACTCCCCCCCGGTACCGTTATCTATGCTTACATGAAGCTCAGGACCCAGGCTCAAGAGGTACGAAGCAATGGATAGGGAATTGGTGGTGACAGATATCATACTACAAATGGGGAAGTGGAGGAAGGAGAGTGTCTTGCCCCAAGTGCCTCCTCCATCCAACCCGCCAAGAGATAGAGGGAGAGAGAAAGACGAATCACTTGTGCCCTCTACCAGCACGACCGTCAGTGACCAAATACGAACTTCTTTTAGAAACCCTCCCCGTTCCAGAAAGCAACAAACCTCCTCTAAGTTATGATATGCATATGATATCGTTTCTACAAGGTATCATAAGCCCATAGCTCCGCCGGCACAAAAGCATCCCCTCCTCTAAAAACCCTCCGCGCCTACCCCGCAGTCTGCGGCCCCTTCCACCGCCGATTACATCCCGCCCCCACTCCCACCCCAGACAAACGGCGGCACCCAACCACCCCATCTCCCCCGCCAAAGCTTCTACTCACAGACCCTCACTCGCCCATCCCACCTCCAAACAAATTGAAGAAATGAACAACCCCAGCAGCACATACCCACACCCCCGGTAACCAACAAAAAGCCCCCATTCCAACACAAAGCACCCAAGCATCCGATGTCCGGCAGACAAAGGAAGAACCCTCCGAGTACAAATGACCCATCACATCGCAACCAACAAAACTCGCGTGGGAATGAACAATTTAATCGCCGGAAATGAAACACACACACACATGCACCACGGCGAATCCCGATTGACTGATTGGTGATGGTGGTGGTGGGGGGGGGGGAATCGACGATGGCGAGGGGTTGTTCTCACACAACCCCCCGATAATGTCAAATCAGTTACTGGGTATTACCGTTGGTGGTTTGTGGAGAATTTTCTTGAGGAAGGACGGTACAGTACGGTATTCTGACTGGATTGGCAGGGGCTAGGTTAGCGGTAAACACGGATGTTATCGTGGGGGATTATTTCTTTTTCTGTTCCTTTTCCTTGTTTCTTTCCCTTGCACTGTACGTGTACCTACGGTACTCGAGTCCTTGTACGCCCTACGTATGTACGGTGTGACAAGGTATTAAATCGTGGGGCACTGTACGGTACTTTTCACTGCTGTGTCACAAGCGTACCTCGCTCTTGTACTCGAGTATTGTACTCGTACAAACAAGTGTGTTTCCTAGAGGTTTCGGTTCAGCTTCTCTCTCTCTTTGTTGGAAGGGGCTATCACATTGATTTCTGTGTCTGTGCCAGCCAGCGAAGGGGGCGTGAACAAGGCTAAGCTAGAGCTAGAGCTAGTAGGATTAGCTGGACGGTACTCGAGTACAGTATTATGGAAATTTTTACACCTGAAGGGGTTCACTTTCTGTTCCGTACCATTTTATCAAATGACTGACTGACTGACTGACTCCCACTTTACGAAACATAAAGTCAAAAAGTGCAAAGCTGATAAGGATAAGATACAATACCACAAGAACTTGTATTGGGTGGGCATAACTCAGCTAATCTGGATCACCTCCTCTCACTTTTTACTAATTACTAGTGTAATGACTACGAGTAACTTAACTTAGGTATTGGTATTATTGATTGGTCCAAAGCCCATAATATAACCCTCGAGGTTTTTTTGGTGCATTTGATGCCTGAAAACACGTCATGAAAAAAAGGAGAAATGAAAGAAACTACAGGAGACAGACCGATGGCAAGTCTGGACTAAAGAAAAGAATATGGAATAAGTTGCGATATATGGTTATTTCGTGCGCCTTTTCTTCCACCTTTGCTTCTTGAAGAAAAACGAGGAATTGCAGAAAATCACAGAAAGGGTAGTAAGGGGCAGAATGTAGTCAACTAAAGTAGGTAGTAGGTAGGAACGGAATAGAGTCAAAGAAAGTATGACAAAACTGGAAACTAAAAAGGACTATGTAGACTATGGCAAGAAACTGAAAAAAAACTCCGCCGCCCAACCGAATAAAGAAAAGAGAAAAAACGAAAACCCACACAAGAGTAAAAAGGAAATAGTAGCAATACCAAATCAGACACTCAATAGTAAATCAAACCCAAAGACAGGAGGAGGAAAGTAACTACTAGAAAACCCCCTCCCCACTCCCATTCCTAGCAATAGCCAAATACCTTTCAAACGGGAATGCCTCCTCCTCCTTCCCACCACCGACTTCCGCAGTAGCAAAGGCATCAAACTCCTCCCCCCCACCACCACTAAATCCCACAAATCCGATCATGCCGCCAGTATCACCATTGTAAAACTCCTCCCTGCCCATCCTAGGCACGCTAGACGACTGCGACCGTGGGGCGGTGCAAATCCTGTACTGCGCCGTTTCGAAATTGGCCTCGGGGGTGATTCCAGTGGTGTTGTTGCCGGTACTGGTGCATTGCTGATTTGCTGGTGTAGCTGGCGGTGACATTTCCGCATCCGCTTCGTTATTGGTGGTGGTGGGAGGGGAAGATGAAGATGAACTAGCTGCGCTAGCGTCGGCGGGAGAAACCGGTGTCGGCGGGGCTTCCACTTTAAAAAGGGTTGCTAGGGAAAAGGCCTTTCCGGTTGTGGTGCCTGAGCCGGCGGTGCGCGGGCGAATGGTTGCCGTAGAGTCGACCTCCTCCATGTCCCAGTCCAGACCGTCCAAGAGTAGTCCATTGAAGGATTTAGCCTGTACGGCTGTGATGGGGGGTGAGCTTGGTGGGGAGAATCTAGAGAGCGTGGCGGTATTAGTAATTGTGGAGGAAGTCGATTTTATGCGGCGCATGGAGGTTGCTGGGAGGGAGAGGTTGGAGGAGGGGAGAGTTGAGGAGTGTGGTGGTGCGGTGGGTTGTGGGAGGAAGGAGTTTCGCAGGCTGGCAGTGCCGAGGGGCGTTGGAGTTGGTGCCTTGCGGCGGTTCGCGAGGGATTGTTGGTGGGATGGCTCTGCTTCGGGGGTGAGCTCATCTTCGGTTCTGGGGAGTTCGTTCTGGGCCTGTTCAGGGAGGTCTATAGAACTAAATGCGTCCAAGAATTCGCCGGGGCAGGAGTCACGGCGGATAAAGTCTCTCTCTGACACCTCTTCCCGCTGCTGCTGCTGGTCAAGGTTGTAGTAATGGTTATCACGGTGAGGCTGAGGCTGAGGTTGGGATCCCTGGCCATCCCCAGCCCTTGGAGACCGCAGAAAGCGTGTCGGTGGCATGGCGGGTAGGACAAAAGTCCTCTGTGTAGACGTAACGTCAATAGCCGCAGCAAATGCGGAAAAGTCTTCCTGTGGGTAATGATAATCAAAGTAACCCGCCGGTTCGGCCGGAGTATTACCCGATTGTGAATCGCCACCCTCATAGTGGTGATCAGAGTCTGGAGATATCTGATCATACTCGAACGGATCCTCCAACTGACCTGCTGGCGTCGGAGTGTATATCACCGAGGAAGCCGTGCTGGAGCCATAGTCCGAGAATCGGGATATCGGCCATGGACTCTCTGCCCCACCTAGAGTGAATGGATGCATATATCCCGGAAGCTGGGATTGTGGTTGAGATCGATTAGGAATCTCATGGGAATTCACCTGGAATCCCCCAACTGAATCTGCATGCGCTGCCGCGGCTGCAGCAACAGCGAGCGATCGTGCCAACGAAGCATAACTAGCTTCGGAAGGCGAAGAGTAGGGAGAGACGCCCTCCCCGTGTTTCTTGGCGAAACGAGTGGGCGTCGAAGGAATGTCCGCGAACGACTTTGCCCGACGCGGGGGCTTTGGAGCAATCATCATGCTGTCTACTGGAAATACTGTACCACTACTAGCGGTGGTGGTGGCGCCTGTTGGTAGCAAAGGACTCGAGGAAACGGGTGAAGAAGGCTCTGTTGCTCGCCGTCGGCCGGCCGATGCGAGTATCTGCCTTGTTTGCATTTCCTCCTGTCGCTTTTGTTGCTTCGCTTTGGCTCGTCTGTTCTGAAACCAATTCTATTCGATAAAAGAGAGAAAAAAGTTAGATACTTTCCGGTAAAAAAAAACCCCCCCCCCAAAAAAAAGACGAAGTACAAGTACAAGTACAAGGAAGGAGCAGCTGCGACGAAAAAGAGATATGGAGGTGATATTATAGGAGAGGCAAATTAAGGGAGTGGAAGGGTAACACAACGGGAGAAAATTCCGAAGTGATAGCCGGGTGGGCAGATTGTGTGTGATTGGGAAGTCCGAAGGTAGTTTTTTCTCTTTCACAAGGTACTCACCCCGACGCGTTGCACCGACAATCCAGTTTTGTCAGCCAAAACCCTGCGGATCTTAGTGTTGGGCTTGGGGGAGTCAGAAAACTGACGCTCGAGCAATTGAATCTGTTCGCGGGTGAGTCGGCTCCTCGATTCGACCATCATTAGAACTCCCCCATCCCCATCGGACGAAGCATTGCTCAAAACGCTACAATCCGAGCCTCTCCTGGATAACGACAATGGTGGTGGTGGCGGTGGCAGAGGGTGAGAATATTGAAAATTATTATTACAAGAACCACCGGGCATGGGAAACATGGATGTCAGGGAAACCGATGACGAAGAATTGGAAGGAAAACGGTTCGAGTCGTCGACTAGCTGTAGATGCGGATGGAACTGCAGTATGTGACTTAAGTGACGCTCGGGCTGTGAGTAGCCCGGGAACGAATGAGCGAGGGCGGAATCCATGTCGTACACCGTTGGGTGATTCCGGGATGTTGGAGACGAACGAATAATAGTGGACTGATTGAGGTCAAGTTAACAATGGGCTGTCCAATTGGAAGTGGAAGCTCCCAGGGCTTGAAAACTTGGGAGAAGGTGGGGATTGGCTGGTTGGATGGATTGACCAGGGGGAGGGAAAGAAGGGAAAGGGAAGAGATCACTTGCCTACACTCGTCGGTAATGCGAGTTGCAAGAATGCCCAACCAACCACTTATGACGCAACAAATACAATAAGCTCGATCACCGGGAAGGAAACGGGCAGTAATGTTATGCGGAAAAAGAAAAAAAAAATGAAATAAAGGACAGTGAGTGAGTGAATGAGGCCAGAGTGTGGGTTAGTGAGCGAATGCGCAATGCAATGCAAGATAAATTGACAGAGATATAAAGATTAATATGATGGGATATGTAAAGTGGTGAAAGTCAGTGCGAGGGGGAAGAGGGACAAGGTTGAATTATCATGGATATGCCCAGGTGCGGAAGAGGGTTATGTGCGCGCGCATCCAAGGGAAAGTGGCCGGGTAGCTACTTGCCAGTGTGCTTTTGCTTCTGATCCTGTTATGGAGGATGCCGGTGCAGCTGGGCAGGTTGGGGTATGTATGTGTGTATGAAAAAGAAGGGAACGGCAGCTGCACGACGGAGGCAATGATAAATGAACGAGGAACGCACAGAAACAGATAGATTTGGCGGTGGTGAAAAGAGAGAAAAGAGAGCGAGATTTTGAGAAGGTCGGGGTGAGGAGGGGCTGAAGAGATCTTTAAGGGAATGGGAAGGGAAGAACAGAAATCCGATTACCATACCACATGGTATGTATGGTAACGATGTGACCTAGTTGCAAGTACCTATACCTCCCTCCCGGGCCAGACAATAATAATAATAATAATAAAATCAATCACTGAAGTGGGGGGAAAACGCCGAAGGAGGGACCGCAGAAGAATTGGAAGAAGAAAAGCCCCCCCAGCGCAGTCCAGCATTGTTCTCGAGTACTGGTGCCGGTACTGTACTCGTACAGTCCGGTCCAGCCCGTCAGGCACCACCATTTATGATTCATATCCCCCTAGCATCCCTTCGTGCCCATCGTGGTCTCACACCCTCCCCCCCTCGGACCAAGTCCATACCGTGCTCATAATCATCATCAATGATCACCCCCTCCTCTCCCCTCATCACTCATCCCTCTCACACCCACCCACAAAAACGGGGAAAAGAAATGGGAAGGAAAGGAAGGAAGAAAAAAACCGCAATACCGTTGCTCCGAAAAAGAAACTACGGTATCAAATCCTCAGGAACCGATATGATACTTTGCCACCATACCGGTATGGTGCAAGAAGAGTACGAGTATGATACAGCGCAAGATAAGACAAGACAAACGTGCTGAACGGAAGAGAGGAAAAGGATACAAACATGGGGATCCGAAAAATGAAATATAACATTGACCTGATTGATGGTGCGAGAGTGGTGATCCCGCTCATCCCTACGCTACCGGCATGGTATGCCATCCATCCAAGTGGAGCTTCAACAAAGTGTTTCAAGTTATTATCTTATTTAAGGTAGAGTAGGAGTGGATTATGTTAGGTCTTTTGGTATCGTAATTTATGCAGCTTCAGCGATGGAACGAGAGACGCTGATTGGGGGGGGGACCCATTCTTTGGGATCAACGTATCGTGCTGCTGTATGGGGGTAGTTGTCATACGGTGGTGGACCGCCCCAGCTGTGATGGATAGAAGCTGATATGATAGCTATGATAGCATAAGGTTGTGTGTGTGAGTGCGTCGTTTCGTTTCACAAGAGACCACATGGCTCCCAGTTTGTTATCACAGCATTATTAATACTATTATTATAGCGAGGAAACAAAAGGAAATGAGTACGGTATTCTTGAGCAAGCAAATGTACAGAAATACTGGATCTCATGGAAAATTTATTATGAGTTTGGGGTCGAATCATCCCCACCATTTTAATCAGACAGATACCCACGAGGGTTAGCGCAAGCACAAGCATCAAAGTACCGGTACTGTACAGTACATCACCGCAGCACAGCATTACAAGTACAGTACAAACAAGCACCGGAGCGAACAGCCCCCTACACCCCATACCCACCATTATTATCCCAATATCACCCAATAAACCAGACCCCGACCCAGAGCTCGCCATCTTGCCCGCGTGACCCGTTTCACAGAGATAGCGGTACCGCATATGTAATCGAGTGTCGGCACATAGCACCGATGGGGGCGGATTAAGCACCCCCTCCATGCCGCTATTCCACTCGTACTCGTACCGTGCTGTCCCGTCTATAAGGACGGTACGCTCAAGTCCAGAAAAGTTCTCTTAACCTTCGATGTATCGCAGGAAGCCTTGGCAGCCTTCCACTGGAGGATCGCAGAAGCAATCTGCTTGGGAAACAGATGTGAATGCCCCTGATGGGATTTGCCGTTACCAGCCTAAAAAGAAACTCCCTCGAAAAAGAGTGGTCCTTGTCTTGCTATCTTAGGGCCTGAGTTGATGGGAACCTGCCCATAAGCGCTGCGTACGCTGCCTACATTTTTGGGGGCATGGTGATACTAAGGCCCACCTGACCGCTGACGGCTCCGTATTTGGCTTCCTGTGTTGTGTTGCGCCAGAAACTCCGGCAGCAGGTACAATACAGTACAGTACAAGGATTTTCTTTGTGCTGTACTCGAGTAAGAGGTTTTGTACCCCATACTAAGAAGTGGGATGGATGGAAAAGAGAGAGAGAGTTGGATAAGTACGAGTACTCGTACAATGAAGCAGCAGGGTTATGTGCGGGGATACCGTGAAATCCCGCAACAAGACCCCCATTGTACCAGTACTCGTACCCCTGGGGATTCAGAACGTTTCTCGCAATTACTCGAGTACGCTGATCGCCCGTGGCCTTTTCCCCGCTCCGCCGTATCACGATGCCAATATCCTCTTCCTATTCACTCCTTGGTCACGGTCTCAGTGCGGATACAAATCTCGTTTCCTTCTCTCCTCGAGAAACAAAGAGGTCAGGGAAGCTGAAGGGGAAAGCGATGTGATACGACATGATGCACCACGGTAATTCAGACAGCCCGCATACGCCGGGCGCACAGGCCCCTAAGCGAGTCCAGGAACGGATGTCCGTGATGAAGCTGTGCCTTTTTTTTGCGATAGGGGGGGAGGGGAGGCAAAAGCGAATGTGGAATGGTGGGTGGGGAGGATCGTGGCTGGGGGCGCAGGGGTTGGTGGGTGAGGAGAGATAAGGGTGGGAGTGTGGCGGGTTGTGAGAAAGCACAGCACTCGAGCACCGGTATGATACCGGCATCCCTTTGTTTCCCGATTTCGTCCACTTTTCGCTCAAGGGGCGCAGGTTTTGGCACGAAAAAATTTAACGGTGAATAGCAAAGGCCACTTCATAAATATTGGCTGGCTCGGCCAATAATAGTTCGTTGGGGAGGAGGATCTGCCGCGCCGGTAGGGGCATCTTTAGCCTGTTTTGCCACTCATTCTTTGCGTCGCACGGGCCAGCAACGCTGTTGAGTTAGTTCGAGTGCCCGAGAAACGAATGAAGGGATCCCTTCGTTTGATCCCGGATTCCACAGCTTTCAAGTGTGCAAGCTGTTACGAAAGAGGGATCGCGGATCGGCGATCGTGGGAGAGAAAAGAGTGACATGAGTGACTGGCTGAAGGAGAAAGGGGGGGTTTGAGGTTTTTGTGACCTCGGAGGAGTCTGGTGGAGAACTTGTCATAAGAACATTCCCATCTCCGGCGTGACGCCCTAAATAGCACAAGGCCGCGGAGCCAAGGGAGTGAGGGGAATTTATACTAAACTGTGATTAAGGTATCGCACTAATATTCTATAATAATACGGCATACCGGTACCGACACAAGTGTACGAGTACTTTGAAGGCGCAGTAATGTAATCTCCTGGACTTGTTCACAGATTTTGAGGGGAAACTTTCAAAGGCCGAGGGGGCGGGTGTCTGGCGCGCCCTGCGCCACTGCGGCCCTCTAAAGCCAGGAAAGATTGTTTTTGTCCAAAAGCTCTCTCTCATGCAAGTAGATCCCCTTCCTCAGCGGCCCCCAATAGAACAATGCCATCGACACAGGACTTGGTAAGGAGGCTAGGAGTGAGTGGTTGTCAAGTTAATTCGCTAATTTAGTCCTATCATAAACTATGATAAGATCTTTCGACTCTGGGCCAGTCGGAATGCGCTATAGCTTGGCACTCACTTGTAGGGTACGAGTACAATATCATAGCTTGGCTGGCTGATGTCTCATGTTGACACTGTATCATAAGTTATTACCATACCCGACCTGCGAAGTGCATTCGGGAGGAAGGGTTAGTCATGCGCACTCCTATTTTTCGGGCTTGACAAAGCTTTTCCTGTTTTTCTTGGCACGGGTAACCACGCCGCTATGAACAGCATATTATGATACCAGTTTCTTTCAGTATGATAAGAACAGGTGGGCACTGGGTTAGATACAAGTACTAGTACAGTATCTCCACTCTGACAAAGCGCTAGCTTGAGAGGGAAATGGCGGGCTGCCAAATGAGGTACGATATCGTGCGACCTGTCAAATCTCGCTACGAGTAGTGGTGCGGGGCTGTGCTTAACCTATTCTACAAGGCCTAATCACGGATATTGTGAGGGCCTGGTGGATTTCACGAGATTGCGAGCGTGGCCGACTTTTGTGGCTCACTAATCATGATCATGATTTATCACTCGAGTTTCCTAATTTGTGCTTGGTTTCACGTACCGTAAGAACTGAAATAATTGGGCATCGCGCTAAGGGGTTAAAATAAGGTGAGGCATGGACAGATCGGTGAAATACGAGTGACTCAACACATGAGACAAGTACACGGGCCCATGATTTTGACTTCAACTCATCAAAACATGAGAATGAGTTGAATGGAAAAAACAGAAAAAAAACAAAAAATAGATTGAAAGTATAGATAAATAGATGTAAAATAGTAATAAATGAATAGACACTGCACTTCAATTCAAAATTGGTGAAGTGAGAAAATAGCAACATCAAAGTGGCAAAAAACAGAAGAAACTCGAAACCAAACTCCGATACAAAATGCCTCCAAAGTGCGCCGGAAGAACTAAGATATAGCCAGTCTTAGAACCCCTTCCCGCAGATAGATTCTATGCGGGAGTAAAAAAGAAGTCAGGCTCAATAAGAAAGAAGCTTGCAGAGAGGTTGCGGGCTCCACCAAAGCGTGTCGACAATCCCTATCGATTATACACCGTTAGCTACAAACTTCGTGTGTTATCATATTGGAGAACACCATCCATACCTATAAGCCCAACCCAGCTTCGGAAGCCAACCCATTCAGAGGTTGCCAAACAGTTCAAGATCCCAGGCACAAATCTTTACCAGTGGAAGAAGGAGGAGAAGAAGGTGAAGTATAAAGACCTGACAAGAAGTCAGTATAGAGTAACTGGAGGGGGAAGAAAAAGAAAATGGATGTTGATGGAGAGAGAGTTGTACGATCAGTTTCGGGTTCGGAGAGTGGAGGGAGGCTTCATTAGAAGAGGATGGTTTCGCCGTATCAGGAAAGAGATTTTTCAATCAACATATCTGGGGGAACCACTTACCAACTTTCGATTCTCAAATGGCTGGTTTCGTGGATTTCTTCGGTGGCATCGCATATCCCTAAGAGTAGTGACAAATAAGTCCAGTCAGCTTCCCACCAATTTCACCGAAGCAATCCTAAGTTGGATGTAGTTCAACAGACGAAATTCCCAGCTGCGACCAGATGATCGTCGAGGATTGGGAGACATACCTGCAGATGTTAGCCACTTTCGCTTAGCCAACATCTGTAATATGGATCAGACACCACTACCCTTCGAGTATCTCGAAGGGCAGACATATAACAGTATTGGTGAATGAACTATATGGGTGCATGGAAGTCAGTCAGGCTGGGATAAGCATCAGGGAACGATACAACTTACGGTATTTTCTGATGGTGTTCCATGAGTAAAACCCTTGATATTTTTCTGATGCCAAGGTATAGGCCCCAGTATCATGAAGGAAAAGCAGCAGTACGATCCCCGTGTCGTAGTCAAGTTCAATCCGAAGGCATATGCCAACGAAAAGAACCTTCTTGAGTGGCTGGAAGAGCAGCTGGTACCCGTTCTCGAGAATCAGCCAACGCTATTAGTTCTCGACCTCTTTGGAGCGCATAAAACTCAGGAGGTACTAGATACCTTTCTGGCCAATAATAGTACTGTTAGCCTAATTCCTGGTGGCTGTACCACATTAGTACAGCCATTAGATGTTAGTATAAACCGTCCCTTTAAAGATATATTAAAGGTAGGAAATAACTTACCACTTATCCCAGGGAATTGTTATGAACATAAAAAGAACTAAAAACTAGAAACTAATAGTTAATTTGTCAATAGGAAGTACTAGAAGAGAAGTTAGATAAGATTGAATCAGAAGAGGAAGCAATTCTTGCTTCTGGAGGCCAACTAACAGGCAGCATGGTTGGAAGAAGAAGGATTCTGACCACATGGGCAGTAGGTGAAGCTTGGGAGATCTTTACCCGAGAGCGGGTTGAGGTTATTAAAAAATCCTTTCGTGTACTTGGGTTAGCTTTGCTAATTGATGGCACACATGACCAAGAAATTAGTATCAAGGGGTTAGATAGTACTTACCTTCAAGAGGGCATAAAGGAGTTGGGAAGACAGGAAAGTATACCGCTAGGAACTGAGTTTGATGATAATTCTGTAGAGTTAGCTGAGGTTGACGATGATGAGGAAGGTGTATACTATGAAGAATTATATTAGCATAATCTGAAACTCATATTGTGCCAGAATCTTGGCATGACTAACTTTATTTTCACCTCTTAGCGTGATGCCCAATTATTTCGGTTCTTACAGTACCATAAAAACTGAAATAGAAGAGAAATGTGCTAAGCGGTTGAAATAAGCTTAGCCAGTAAAAAAATAGGCAATGTCGCAATCAGTGAGGTTATGACTGGTTTGAGACATCTGCTTTGACCTTTAATTCCAACCTCATGTCAATGTGTTTAGAGTCACAATATCATTACTGGCAGTATAATAGACAATTAATCAACATCATAGGAGTCATTGAGAATGTAAATAAATATAAATGAAGTAGATACTGTACTACTCTTACATGAAAATTAAATACAAGTGCAATACTTCCAATAGTGATAACTCAAACAACATAATCGATTACCTCTCAAATATCATTACACTAAATGTAACCGGTACGGGTACTCGTTTATTGGTTTTGTTTTATGTTTTGTTTTAAGTATCGCTTTGATACTTGAATTTGTTTTATGTTTTGTTTTAAGTATCGCTTTGATACTTGGTTTGTTTTAAGTATCGTTTGATACTTGGATTTGTTTTATGTTTTGTTTTAAGTATCGCTTTGATACTTAAGGAGTTTTACTAAAATGTATCGATTGATACCTTTGATTAGTTTCGTTCATGCTAGATATGAACAGATTTGTGTATTTAAAGACCGCCTGTTTCTACGATAGAAAAGGCAGACTTCGACAGACAGTATTTCAATATACTTGGTTGAACGGTTACTTCTTTATTCCTCAGTACACTCTCAAAGCCTCCTTTAGTTCTCAGCTCTCGCCTACTCTCCGGAAGAGCAGGCCACCTGCCAACTATCGTATCCTTTACTGATAACGTGATTAGCACCTTGCGAACACGTTACACTAAAGGGCCTGACGAAGTAAGCAAAGCAAGGGCAGTACGCGCTCCAAGGTTTCTGTTGTCCTCACAGAGCTTGCACCCGGTAAGTTCTATGCCCTGCTAAAACAGAAGTCAGGACCAAAGCGAAAACTGTTGAGAGTAAGATCCCAAACAGCTCCACAAATGGTACAGCATCCTCGAAAGTCCTATACGATCCACTATAAGTTGTGAGTACTATCTTGGCTACAGATAGCCTCGATCCCCTCTGGACCAACCATATTCTGACAGCCCACATTGAAGGAAGTGGCGGTAAGATTTAAGATTCCACTCGGGAATATTGGGCGATGGCAGAAGGAGGAACTAGCTGGGAATTTCCTAGAGGCGTCAGCAACGGCTCATAGATTGGGAGGAGGAGGAAGAAGAAGGAAATGGGTGGATATAGAGAGAAGGTTATATGATGCCTTTCGATAGCGCTGAGCAGAGGGAAAGGTCGTACGCCATAGTTGATTTCACCAAAATGCAAAGTGACTCTTTGCCAAAACCTATTCAGAAACTATAGTCAGCCAATTCTGCTTTTTAAATGGATGGTTTCGGGGTTTCTTATCTTGACATAGGATAACTCTTCGTACAATAACCAATAAGGCTAGCCAGTTGCTGGTAGACTATATTGAAGCATTAGTAAATTGGATGAAATTCAATTGAAGAAACTTACAACTATGACCAAAAAAACCCTGCTGACCTTCCCGATACCCTAGCAGAGATTGGTCGTTACAGATTGAGCAACATCTGTAACATAGACCAAACTCCACTGCCTTTCAAGTATCTCAGTGGCCGGACCTATAATCAGCAGGGTGAAAAAACGATATGGGTACAGGGCAGTCAGCAGTCTGGTTGGGACAAGCGACAGGCAACGATTCAACTTACAGTTTTTGCTGATGCTGTACCCTGTGTCAAGCTTCTGATATTTTTCCGCGGGCAGGGGGTAGGCAACACTGTCATGGCTGAAAAAGCCCTCTATGACCCTCGGATTATTGTCAAGTTCAACCCGAAGGCATATGCCAATTCAA